AAAAATCATTGGATATTTTGACACTAAAGAATTATTCATCTTTTTAAAGAGCTCTTACTTTTCAGAGGCACACACCAAAATATTTATAAACATCTGGAATGTGCTTTAAAACACTTCAGTGAGGGAAGAAGACAAGGAGGAAGCAGTGGGTAGAGAGAAATCAAGATTGGCTGAGTTTAAAATAAAAGTCAAATGATGACTACACAAGGATTCATTTACACGTTTGAAATTTTCTATTATAAAATGGTTCCCATGAAAAGAGAGAAGGTAGCCATCAAGGAAATTCTGAGGGTTGGCAATTCTGTTATAGATTTTTATATTAAACAGTTCAAAATTTTAGATATCACTTTTTTGTATTAGTGGTGAACCCCAACTGTGCCCAAAGATACAAGATCATTAACTTCCTAATGAAAGATTTCTCCTGAGCTTTCTTTCACATGTCCTAGACTTCAGAAAATTTACAGATAGGTAGATAATAAACAGAGAGAGGTATGAAATAAAATTCCAGAAGAATAGAAATGTATAGAAAACAGCAAAATATTTGACATTTCAATGGGTATAAAAAACAAGGCTACTATAATTCCATGGGAAAAACTCCCTTTTAATGGAAGCTTTTTGAAAACATTGTCCATATGCTTTGGCCTCAGAGCAGACATGGAAGAGGACAAATGAGCAGGAAGGCAAGGCTCAGCTCCTACTGAAGTTTCTCTCAAGAGATTCCAACTGGCTGAAAACCCAGAGGCCTGTTCAGCTAAGTGCATGATCAAAATCAATCAATAACTTAATTCAAGTAAATACAGACACTAATACAGCAGCCTCCATGGTCCCTGCCTGGCTTTGAGAGACAGATTTTTTGGAAAAAATACACTCAAGCGAGTCTATCCCAAATCCTGAGGACAGGAAGCCTCCAACTGGGCTTGGCTGGCAGGGCACTGGCTGTCTTGCCAAACTTGTCTAAGAATTGGGGGGCTGGGAGACTGGTTTTCCATATGGACCTCTGCAGCAGCCCTGTGTGGATGACTCAATAACACTTCACCCTAGTTTAGCACAACTTCACAGTCCCCACAGATAAGCCAGGAGGACCAAAAGGGTTATTTGCTAAGTCAAAAATAAACTTGTGGCTGCCTGCCAGGAAATAGGTGATAAAAGCACATGTTTCCAAGTGGACTGCGTAATACAAATGCTCATCACTACCACTTATCTCATTTGCAGTGCAGAATGGGGGAAAGAAATCTCAAAGAATATGACATTACAAGGTACCATCAAACAAATGACATCTTGCAATTATAATGACACACAGTTGACAAAAGAAAAACTTAGCAGCCAGTGTTCAAGGCACAGCATAACAATGTTGCTGCAGTGCAATTCATCCTCATTATGCCGGGCCCAGAATCTCAAACAGCAAGAAAACCCTTTTTGATGGCAAAATAATATAAGAAAATGTAAACACAGTTAAAAATACTGCAGCTTCTAATTCTTAAAGAAATGTTATAAATGCCTACAAACATCAGTTTTCCTGAATCAGCACTCATGAAAAATAGGTCACTACCACTTTATCATCTCTAATTGGTGTCCAGGACCCCAAGTATCTCGGGAAGTAAGGGTCCAGATGAAAAGGACAGAGACTATTAAGAGATAGGTGGTGACTGCAACTCAGGAAAGTACGCCAACAGGACCAAGAACACCTGCCAGGCCCAGAGGGCTCATGGAAGTATCCACAGATTCTGAAGATCAAGTGCATCACTAAAACACGCAATCTGCAGAGTTAGAAATTTTCCCCTATCACATTCACTGATGTATCTCAAGTACCAGAAGAGTTCCAGGCACATTGCAGGGCCTAATTACTTATGAAATGAATCAGATAAGAACATATAGAAAGGGCTGGGGTTGTGGCTCAGTGGTAGAGCACTCACTTAACATACATGAGGCACTGAGTTCAATCCTCAGCACCACATAAAATTAAATAAAGATACTGTGTCCACCTAAAACTAAAACAATAAAAAATTTTTTTTTAAAAATATAGAAAAGCATTTTTATATGTCAGATAAAGTGCCATGATATAGGGCATTAATACTAGTTCACCTTTCAGACTCATTTAATCTAATCTTTTGGCAGAATGCAACATTTTTTAAAAATACAGTTTATGTTTATTCATGATCAATAGCAAAATATTAATTTCCTAATAGCTGTTGTTATAGTGCAAGGAATATGCTGGGATGGGAAAACTTTACAGATGAGGGAAGAATATTACAATCAGAGAAAAAGGCTACAAATGAAGCAAAACAAAGGAGGCTGCCTGAGAGAAGATCCCAGCGGGGTGGAGGCCGAGGTGAGGTCCAGCAAGGAGCAGGCTGGCAGAATGTGACAGGAGGCCCTCACATGGCCCTTGCAACACAACGCACTTTGGAATCCTCTGTGATAACAAGGATTATCTGTGTCTGTCATTCACCACGGTATTCTCAGTGCCAGGAGCATAGTAGGTGTTTAATAAATATTTGTAAATGGAAAAGTGTGGGGTGAGTCTGAGCCAGATCTCACAGGCAGGATAGAGACCCAGGATAATGAGCTTCAAGCTGCCAACCACTGACAAAATTCTGCCCCTACTACTGGACTTGGAGGTGTGTCCAAACACTCAACTGACGGAAAAATCCCGGCCTGAACTAAAGTTCAGAATACTGTTTCCCTTAAAGGTTACCAGAAAAACCATAGGCACCACTTAGATAGGAGGCATGGGTGGCTGTGCCCTCTGGGAGCTCTCAATAAGCCAGACTTGTCCTCCGCCTGGGTCTGAGTCAGTGGAAAGGAAATGGCCCGAGAGCCTTCCTGCATGCCATCACTGCTTGTCCTCCAAGCCCATCAAAAAGATGAAGGATACCCTGGGGCAGGGATTCCTCAGGTGGTGCCCTCACTGCACCGGGGGCTCCAGGCGATGCTGGGTCTTCTGGTGCCGGTTGAGAATGGACCTCTGGTTGAAGCTCCGACCGCAGGCGGGGCAGTGGTAAGGCTTCTCTCCCGTGTGGATCCTCTGGTGTCGGACCAGCCGCTCCCCTTTGCTGAACCGCTTCCCGCACACCTGGCACCCATAGGGCTTCTCCCCGGTGTGGGCTCGCCGATGCACAGCCAGGTTGGCATTCCTGCTGAAACTCTTGCCGCACTCGCAGGTGTAGGGCTTCTCACCGGTGTGCGTCCTCCGGTGCACCTGCAGGTGCTGCCTCCGGCTAAAGCTCTTCCAACAGTCCCCACACTTGTAGGGCTTCTCCCCTGTGTGGCTCCGCTGGTGGACCTCCAGGTGGTGTCTCTGGCTGAAGGTCTTCCAGCACTCATTGCACACGTAGGGCCTCTTTCCCAGATGGGTCCTCTGGTGCTTCATAAGGTACTCCCTCAAGGTGAAGCCCTTCCCACACTCCACGCAGCCATAGGACTTCTCCTCTTCATGGGTTCGCTGGTGTCTGACGAGATTGGAGCTCCGACTGAAGCCTTTCCCACACTCGGGGCACTGGAAAGGCTTCCAGAAGGAACTCTGCGCTTTGAGATCCTCAGGCAAGGAGACACTGTGCTGCGAAGCAGGAAGTCCTAGCAGGCCACTCCCGGATTCCCCAGGCTCCTGTTCACAGGCTCCTCCCAGCCCAGGTCCAGGGACAGCAGCTTCCCCAAACCTCTCAGTTGACAGCCCAGCAAATGCCCCTTTAAGGTCTTCCTGCTGGGGTTTTGACTCCTTTTCCTTGCTCCCAATGCCTACAGGAGAAAAGAGACCAAGACTGATTCCATGGTAGCTACCAAAGGTAATTTATGTGTCAGAGCTTTGCTTCCAAGGATGGCCCACTGAGAGCAGCTTCTCTTTTCCCTGTGACTAACAACTTCAACACCTTTCACTTCTGTGGATCCTAAACTCAGAACTTCCTTTACTTCTTCCCACTCCCTACCCTCATACAGAATATATGCCAAATTTTAATCCCCTCTCATTTTCAGACTTTTCTTCAAAATCTATCTCAGTGATTCTGAGAAATACACCCTGGTTATTCTCGTCCCCTAGCCTCTTCTGCACTGATATCCTCAATTAGCACTTATTTACACATAACTTTGCTGCAAATGCTAATTTACATTCACCTACATGTTCTGCCTTCCTCAAATAATTACAAACCCATTCCAATAACCTGGCCCTGCATACCCTGCTCCCTCTACCTAACCAAGTATCATTAATCTGGGCCCCCTAGGAGCCTGGCAGGGAACTGCGCAGGGAGATGCTGGCTGAAGGAAGGAGCCCAATCTGTAACTGAAGCTCCAGTTACAAACCAATTCTGTGCTGGTACAGCTACCAGGACTACATATACTTAGGATCATAACTCCACCTAAGAAAATAAATATAAGTTCCACGTACATAATATTGAGTTCATGTGCAGATTTCCCCAGGGGCTAGTTAAAGTTCATACGTGGTACTTAGTTTCAGTTTTCCTACTCCTAACACTTCAAAACTGGAAACTACCCAAATGAACCTTTTCTCCTGTGTGGATCCTCTCCATGAAAAAACAAATTAATTACAGCTCCACACCATGAGGTCATGAAGGTCACATGTCCTTGTTAGGAGACGCATGTTGAAGTATTTAGGAGTGAAAGATCAAATGGCTCCATTTCCAAAATTATTCTGAAAATGCATTTTATAGATAAATATGGCAAATATTAACAATTATTGAAAAAACAAAGGTATAAGTGTGTTCACTATAACGGTACACTAGTCTTAGTGATTTTTGTGGGATTTTTTTGTAGGTTTGAAAGTTTGTACAGCAAATGTTTAAATATAAAGCTGGAGGGAAATAAATAAAATATCTAGGCAGAAATGAAAACACTAAGACAAAGACACATTACTACAAAGAGAATGGAGTCAGAGAACTGGTTTTGAATGTGGCACTGGCTACTTAATAGCTATGGGATTATGGAAAAAATCAATTAATCTCTCTGAGCTTTACTTTCTTCATCTTCAAAATGGATAGTATACTGATAAAGGTTCCTGTATACACAGCAGGTATGCAATGGTAGGTGGTATGATTTTAGCCCTTAGACCAGGCACTGATTTCCAGCTACTTCCAGAGAATCTCCCCCTGGATCTCAAACTCAAGATGGAACCCTCCATTCTCCTCCCCCTTAGGAAAGCACTTCCCTTCCTTTCTCACAGTAGCACCAGTTTTCCAGTCCAATAGCCAGGATCTCAGCCTCCTCTTTGACTCTACTCTCTCCTCTTCTCTAGCTAATTGGTGACCAATCCTTGGAAAAACGTCTTGGTAAACCACCTTCTTCACCACTGCCAAGTCTGGTTCCTGCTCTGGCCCTATGCCTGTATCTCCTTCACCCTAGAGGTCAATTGCAATAACACTTTCATCACATTACTCAACACTGCAAACTTCTACCAGAGCCCACAGCCCTCAGCTAGTCTCACCCTACTTACGCAACCCCTCTTTCTTTCTCTTCTGAACACTCATCTTTCACCCCAGGGTCTTAACCATCTTGCAAACAAGTCTCCTGGAGTCAGTGTGTGCATATGCTACTCTCTGCATCCATTATTCCAAATCAGCTTCCAAATTCCTGCACCAGCCCAACCTCCATCTGTTTGCTCCCATAACTGCATTTATGATCCAGACCATAAGGCTGGCAGTTAGTCACTCTCTAATGACAACAGACCAAGGCCTGAAAGGGAGCTGAGAACCCACCTGGCCCAGCAGTCTCCCCAAACTCATCTCCTCCTTATAAATTAAGCAGCTTGGTCCTGTCCCACACTGCTATCTTTGCAAGTTCTGGGACTGAATCCCAGGTAGACCTGAAGGCTGGAATTCATAGCAGATGGTACACTTGGAAAACAGAGATAACTGCACAAAGCAGGGGCTCCTGTGATGTACCCAAACAGAGGCACACCATGCCACCTAGCAGAAACACTTAGGGATGTGTATCCAGGCTGTTTGGAGACGCGGGGCTGGTGAGAGGACAAACACGCACCAGGGTCTCTAGAAGTCAGAAATAGCCAGGACAGGGTAAGCACTCTTGAGGATGGAAAGGCATCACTGCAGAGGCACACAGCTAATGGGGATTAGAGCTCTGGGAAGCTGGGACTTCTATCCAGGGCACATCACGGGAGCCCCTGCCTTGTGTATTTATCTCCAAAGTTTGCACATCTTTTACCCTGTGGCAATTACAAACTTCTATGTAAAACACACCAGCATCTTTTGCCACCCACATCACCTTGCCCTGGACACAGGTCCCCAATTCCCCCTACCTGGTGCTCCACCCTATTCCAAAATGACCATTCACCTGGCCTCTTCACCAGAACTCTAAGACCCTGGAGGAAAGCATTTTAACTCTTCATAGTGAATGGTAAAGCACTGGCCATATAGTAAGTGACAAATAAATCTCTGTGGGTAAATAAAATGAATGAATGCTGACTTATGAAAGAATCAGTTAATAATATTTGTACAAGTATGACCAACAAATATTTGCAAAAATGTTCAACATCATTTGTAATTAGGGAAATGTAAATCAAAACTGCACTGAGATTTCATCTCACACCAATCAGGATGGCAGTCATCAAGAATACAAAAATAAATGCTGGAGAGAATGTGGAGAAAAAGAAAAACAATTTTTACACTGTTGGTGGGATTATAATACAACCACTATTAAAATCAATATGAAGGTTCCTCAAAAGACTAGTAATGGAAACAGTATGTGACCCAGCTATACCACTCCTCAGTATTTACCCTAAAGAATTAAAGTGATCACACTATAGTGATAAGGCATACCCATGTTTATAACAGCACAATTCACAACAGCCAAACTATGGAACCAGATGTCCATCAACAGATGAATGGATAAAGAAAATGTGGTATACATGCACAGGGAGTTTTACTCAGCCATAAAGAAAAATGAAATTCTGTCATTTGCAGGAAAATGGATGGAACTAGAGACCATTATGTTAGGCAAAATAAGTCAAATTCAGGTCTAGAGTCAAATGTTTTCTCTCCTATGTGGAAGCTAGAGAGAAAAAATGAAAAGAAAAGGCGGGGGATCTTTCATGAAAATCCAAGGGAGATCAGTGGAGGAAAAGGACCCAGGGGTGGAAGGCAGGGAGAAAGGGAAGTGCCAGGGAATGATCCTGGCCAAACTACATTGTTCTATGTGTGCATGTACAAACACGGAACAACAAACCCATCGTTATGTACAACTATAATGCATGAATAAAAATTGTGGAAAAAAATCAAAGTTGGGCAAAACCCCCTCCCAAAAAACAATATTTGCACAACTAATAAAAACATTTGGGCTGAGGATATAGCTCAGTTGGTAGAGTGCTTGCCTTCCATACACAAGGCCCTGGGTCGACCCCCCGCACCACAAAAAAAAAAAAAAATATGTGCTAGCACCATGTTTGCCACACATTTTGTGCTCACAATGCCATGAGGCCATGTGAGTCATTTCATGACTGAAGAAACTGAGACCTGAAGAGGTCAAATTAGATGGTCATGGTTAGGAAGAGAGAAAGTCAGGATGGAGCCTCTTGCATCCTGAAAGAAGCACATGACCCTCTTGCTCATCCTTCAATGTATTTCAAGGTGAGAAAGGTCAGATGGAGTCTGTACAGATGAAGGGTCAACACATAAAATACAAGGTTTTGAAAGGAAAAAGAGTTAGCGGGGAACAGGGGAGGCTTGTTCCCAGCCACGTTTTCTTCTTCTCCCCACTGTTCTCATTCAACCCACAAAGATTCTCCCCCCTGCTCCTTGGTCCCTAGTCCCCATGCCCTGTAGTGCACTCTGCTGGCTTCCCCACAGGCCCTCACCCTGCACTGCCAGTCCTGGCCTCACTCCTGCTCCCTCCTCCCCTATGGGCTCCTATCAGTGCAACCACAGGTCAAACCCAGCCACCACCTGAGGCAGGCCCATCGAGAGTCTGCTTCCTCTGTGACACAAGCCCACACTTACCTGTCCCATTTCTAAATTCTTACCGCACGTGTGCACACATACACACAGAGAATGCTCCAATTCTCTCCTGTATTTTAGTCCAGGCCACTTCCTGCCCCAACACAAAGCTACTGTGTGAGGCCTGCACTCAGGGAGTGCTCAATAAACACTTGCTGAATGAATAAGACCAGGTGCTCCTTTTTGGCTGTTTTCCCTCTTGCTCCGAAGGCAGCTAGGGACACACACAGATGTCTAGGGATGCTAATGACTGACCTGTCTCATTGGAGCCAGAAGAGCTGCCTCGTGTTTTCCTGCTCTATTGTCTGCCTCCTCTTTTTTTTTTTTTTTTTTTT